TTCAGAAACGCTAGTGTGCTTCCATGTGAATCCACCACGCATTTTCCTTTAGAAAGCAACCATATTTTTAAATAGGAATTTTGGTAATACGTCGTTTTTTTAAACTTACTATTTAGTTCTGATGGGACCCAAGACGACTTGTTTGCTCAAATAATGCGTGGTAGAGTAACTTTTCCATCACCTTCATGGGACAAGATATCTGCCTCCGCAAAGGCACTCATCCTACTGCTTGTAAACACTGATAAGGAAGAACGATTTTCTGCGCAGGACGTTTTGGACAACCAGTGGATAAAGGTTTGTTTTGCGCTAGTTATCTCTTTTGATTTGTTTTTGGTTTTTTTTTGTACAGTTTGCGTTGTTTGTTTTTTAAAAAGCTATAACTATTTTGTCTCTTTTAGACCCTCTCTGATGTGCCTTCTGATTTCGAGTCTATGGCCGAGTTTATCGTTGAATCACGAATAGATGCAGATGTACGTTATGTTTTTTAGTTCTCCTTTGTTTAAGTTATACCTATTGTAATTTTTCAAACGTAGTTTATAGTAAAAACCGCTTTGTTACTTTTTCTTTTGAAGAACTCTCATTTTTTGGTTAATCCCGTTCAAAAACCAATACATGCTAGTATTTCGAATAGCTTGTGGTAGCCGCCTAGTAACTCTCAATAAAATATCATAGTGGCATTAGTCATAATGCAATTAGAATCAGCCAAAGCTCTGCTGGTGTTTTAACATTGAGATGTTTTCATTTTTAAGGCTGATCCATGGCTTATTGAGATATGTTCTGTAGTGCAATAGTTTAAGGAAAGTACTGTATAGTAAAATGAAATTATAATTCTTCAAAGAAGTGGGTACTCATCAAAAGTTAATTTTTAAAAGGAAAGGAACATTCGGTTTAATCAAGTTTTGTTTTCCTTACTCTTCCTTCACAATTCCTGTTACTTTCTAGGCTGATGTCGAGGAGACGGATCGGGAGTACTTTATGAGCCGACGAACTAGCATGGACGATTTGAGCGAAAGCGGACGAGCTGATAGCTATGAGTTCACATTTTCTCGGAATTACAGCTGAACAAGACTTGCACAAATAAGTCATTGCCGTGCTCTTCATTTACCTTCATTGGAGTTATCGCAGTCGACAAATACCTACGAACGCCTCTCATTATTTGTTTTGTTTTCGTCAAGTTTAATTTCTTGGCTCCTTGCACGTAATCCTCTTACAAAACTACTCAGATAAAATCGAATGAATCATCCCAGGATTTTGTTTTACTCGAATTTCCTAGCGATACTCGCTTAATCCAGCAATTTTTCTTTTGCATAATTTTGCTTTCAAGTGCAATGTAAAAGTAGCAGTGCTCCATAAATACACCTCTTGATCCCCGTGCCGAAGGTATGCGGTGGTGATCACGTGGTGTCACTTATTTGCTTCAAATATGCTCATCTTGCTGTGTTTCTAGTCATTCTTCCTTCTCTCAAAAGGCGTTATTAATGTTTAGTCTCAACTATACAACGTTGTCAACTGTTATACGGCTATGTGACTATTTTTTGTGTGTTTTTTGTATTGAAAAGCGAAGTTTTATTGTGCATTCGCATTTGAAGCAAAATACCCTGTAATGTAAATGTGGAAATTTACCTAAAACTTGAGATTTTGTAGGGGAAATTAGGGCTGTATCTAATTTTTCATTTCTTTTTACATCTTAATTATCTGGTTTTGAAGAATCATTAGTGCAACTTGCAATATTTACGTTGTTTTGTTATTTTCCATAAAGTTTTCTAGGTGATTTGTATGCATATGTCCGTTTTATTTTTTTTACTTGTTTGAAAACAACTCCTTCACCAAAAGAATGCCTTCCTGTTCACTCCTACTTCGATGTCATTGTAATGAAAACATGTTTCTTTCAAATTTTGTTTCAATATGCCACATACGAATTCAGTGGATTGTTATAAAGGTGCTATCTATCTATATCTAGCATAAATAGTCGTTTGTTATATATAAC